TACAATAGATTACAATGGTGACCGAGTTTTACTGGGACAAAGGTGCTCTCTTGGCGCAACTCTAATAGCTTAAATTAGTTGCTAATCTAATCGCTAATAATCAACCTGTTACTGCCAGTGTTAAATGTAGGCCTTGCAAAAATCTGAATGCTGAACTGATACTGATTAGCATTGAAAGAAGTTGGTTTTGTGTCACAGAAATATATAACCTAATCAAGTAGTTGTGTTTTGAAAATCCACCGTTTTACAATGTAAACATCATTTTTAAAACTGCAAGCATTACGTTAAAACTGCTATGCTAGGAAACGTTCCTGTAGGTTGTATTATTATGGCGCATTTCCATTGCAGCGCGTAGCTCGCTTTAAGCGTGCCGTGTCGTGCCGTCCCCTTTTTTGGTTGTGCTTCCACTAGGCCTCGTTCCGGCGCGGCACGGCGCGGGGCCACTTTTTCCCCTCTTTTCTGGCCCTAGAAAATTGTGGTTCTATCGGGGCCAACAAACAGGGCTGAGTCGGGCTGAGTATGCTAAACTAGAGAGAGGAGCGCTGGCAAGAGGGCTAGAACTACAACAAGATGGACATATTTGACCGTGATTTAATTGTAATACACGTTTCAAAATGATGCCGAAGTAACAACATACTGATACCGGTTAGTAAAAACCATGAATTAATGCTTTGTCAAGTCTGCAGACAGACGGCAGGCGAAAAACCTTTTAAAATTCGTGTTTTTCTAGATGGAGATTGGCTAAGCTAACGCAGTATATGCCCCGACCGTCCACACTCACAACAACGGCCTATACAGACATAAATAAAGCAGCGACTGTATTCACCATGACACAGGCAGTCTGTGGTGTGTACTTGTTTAACTTTTGTCGAGTTTCTGAACATATATAAGGAGCTGTGAGCTCTGAGTGCTCACAGCTAACGGCTGTGTTGTGTTTCTGGATTTCTCATTGAAGATGACGTCACGGCTCCGCCTACACTGCGTTACTATAGTAACTACCCCAGTTCCTAAACTGTAATGGAAGCGCAGCATGAAGTGAGTCGGCCCTGTTAAGGCCCAACGCGGCCAAGCCGTACCGAGCCGTACCGAGTGTGGCCGAGGCCGACCGTGTAGTGGAAATGCGCCATTATAGGGTTGAAACAAATGACTTCTTTGGTCGTATGGGTCGGAGGACTTGTTGCCTTCAATTGATCAGATCTATAAGGAGGGGTCATTCTTACTTTTTCGTTAAAGGTGGGGTAGGTAATTCTCTTCAGAAACACTTTTTGTTATATTCCATGGAATGCTCTTAACATCCCGATAGCAATGAATATATGAAATGCTTTGACAATAAATACATAAAAAAAATGTCATCTGTGGAAGCCGTGGTACTGTAAAAAGCACGACCAATCATTTTAGCCGGCCCAGCTAAAATAACTGGATGGCCTACCTGCCTGTCAGCCTTCCATCTGTGCACAAACTTATCTCGTGCCCTCATTGGTCATGTGCGCGTTCGTGTGTGTTGGAGGAGGGGCTCTGTAAGGAAGTCTGAGGAAGGGGCAGATTTTTTTCAGCTGCGTACTTTCAAATTCTAGCGCACTCAAGCTGGTTTCTCCATTCTTACCTACCCTACCTTTAAGATAGCAGCCGCTCCCATGGTGTTGCTCGCATAGTTAGCTTTTGTCCTTTAACGTGTGTTAATACATCAAATAGAAGCTTTGTTTTAGCCATGTTGTGGTAACAAGTCAAATCAGTGTTATGGTCAGTTATGCTTGAGGAGTGGTTTGAGAAGTTTGTTTCATTTTTATTGTCATTTTTATTTATTGTCTAGTAACGTTGAAATCTTTTGTAACAGTTGACATTTCTTTAAAGATGTTCTAAGCGTCTTCCATTTTGTAAGTATGTTGCATATACTGACAAACATTAGCAGTTCCATTTTCGTAATGAATGTTGATGTTTCAGTTCCTTATATATTGTTTAGAGTTTCATTATCCATCACAACAGTGAGTGTGTTTCGTGTTGCCTAGCAGCTGCTGTCTTCATTCTGTGCCCTGATACTGCCCTTTCTGGCTGCTTTGTAACCGGAAGTGAAAGACTATCACCTAACCACCCATCTGTGCACAAATAGTGATGTGAAAACATGTACTATGAAAGACTAATGTTAGAAAGGTGATAGTATCTAAAGCTAAATGTGTGTGTGTTTTCAGAAAAGAGGGCAGAAATGAAAATGCCTGATAAGAGAGAGCTGCTGCTCTTTACAAGCCTCAGTTCTCTAACACCAAACTGCTTTAGCAGAACTTGTTCTTCCTACTCGCTGCACAAGCTTCATAACCACATTTTTCTTAGACTTATTAAGAAAAACACCACCATGTCTCACACTATAGAACTACAAGTGGTTAGAAGCAGTATTTAGAACATCTACTCAGAATTTAGGAAATGTTTGTTCTCTACCTTGACCATAGGAGCTGATATAATTAGACACAGTGTTGAAACAGGAAGAAGTCTCTACAAATGAAAAGCTGATAAGTCATTAACTGAGTCACACACACACGTCCACTCATCACACCAGACACTGCTGTCATCATAAAGTACATTACAACAGTGATGAAAAAACATCATTTTTTTCAATGTAAGACCCAAACACTTGATAAGCACATTGGGAAACTATGTTCTATAGCAGGGGTCGGCAACCTTTTTGATATGAAGTGCCATTAAAAAAAAAAATTGTTATCAGCGTGCCAACGATCGAGAATTATCAACGGAGGGGGGGGGGGGGGGGGGTTTGAGGAGCTTGACGCTGGTGAACTCTCAACAGGAGGGCGGGGGGAGCCTCGCTGCGGGGAAGCAGTGTGTGTGTGTACCTGTCAGCACAACTTACATGATGCCGAATTTAACAAACACATTTAATTAAATTGGTTTAAACGGCATAATAATAAGGACGATCGTCCGTTCTGTGATTCTCCAGAACACACATGTTATGATATTAGGGTCAGGCAGAGTGAGATGAGATCGCTGTCCCTTTAAGAGAGAGAGAGAGAGGGGTGTGGCGTGTGCATGTGTGTGTGTGGATGGTAGAGCGACAGTGAGGGAGCGTGTGTGTGTATGTTTCTGGAAGTGAAACGAGGCAGCAGAAAAACAGAGGTCTGTGATGTATTTTGTGAAACAGAAGAACAGCTAAATAAATGCAACGGCCTCCCCAGAAGAGCTCGCCTCTCTCCAGTCATTTAAGCTAAAGTGGGTTATTGAACCTGAAGCTTGTTGCTTCTGCCCTCCTCGACTACGGTCTGGGAGCCGACAGGAAAGTTCAACACACAGATGGCCAGTCCGCCCCTTTGTAGCATATTATTTCAATGAGAGATGAGCAGATCGCCACTGGGCTTTCAACTAAAGACACAGCCACGCAAAAACTGCGGCATTTGTAAAGCTCCTTATGGGTACTGCAATTGGTACAGCCCTGCACCACGGAGGAAAGCGGCAGAAAGTCACCTGGAGTTAAACAGAGCGGGGCTGCGTTGCGTGCATGGCTTCCTTCTGCAGGTAACGGGGAGACGCGCTCTGGCGGCGGTCTCGTTCAGGATCCGAAAATACAATTTAAATATTTTGCACACTTATTCGACTTATTCCTAGTGTGCCACTGGTTACGGTGCCGCGTGCCAATGCTGGCACGCGTGCCAGGGGTTGCCGACCCCTGTTCTATAGTATGCTAAGTTATGGCGCATTTCCACTGCAGCGCGTAGCACGGTTTAAGCGTGCCGTGCCAAACCCGGCCCGTTTTTTGTTGCGTTTCCACTAGGGGTAGTTCCGGCTAACGGGTACCTTTTCACAGTTTTTCTGGCCCTCCAAAATCGTGGTTCTTTCCGGGCCAACAACCGGGCTGAATATGCTAAACTAGTGACGTGAGTGGCTACAACTACAACACAATGAACATATTTGACCGTGATTTAATTGTAATACACGTTTCAAAATGATGCCGAAGTAACAACATACTGATACCGGTTAGTAAAAACCATGAATTAATGCTTTGTCAAGTCTGCAGACAGACGGCAGGCGAAAAACCTTTTAAAATGCGTGTTTTCTAAATGGAGATCGGCTAAGCTAACGTTGCATATGCTCCGTCCGTCCACACTCACAACAACGGCCTATACAGACATAAATAAACCGGCGACTTTATTCGCCATGACACAGGCAGTCTGTGGTTTGTACTTGTTTAACTTTTGTCTAGTTTCTGAACAGATATGCTGTGATCTCTGAGTGCTAACAGCTAACAGCTGATGTTTGGTTTTGTGGTTCGCATTGAAGATGACGTCACGGCTCCGCCTACACTGCGTTAATATAGTTACTGCCCCAGCTACTAAACTGTAATGGAAACGCAGCATAAAGTGAGCCTGGCCTACCAAGGCCTAACTATACCGTACTAAGCCGTGCGAGGCCCTGCAGTGGAAAAGCGCCATTCGTTCATATTCCTAAATAGATTTTGGGGGCTCTATATGGGGGCCAAAAGAAAAATGATTTCCCTGAGGCTCTTTTACTATCGAAAACTACAATTTAGTAAAATAAATATCCTTTAATAAATCTTATACCATCATAAATATATTTCAGTTCTACTTTTTAATTTGTTTATCTCACTACAGAAAAAGAAAGACAGCATGAATCATCAAAAACTCTCATGACATTGAAACACAAATGAAACAAACCTGACATTTTAGGAAAGGGGCTATGCAACAGTTGCCACACAATGTGTTCATACAATATTGTATTTTTGAAATCATTTTCTATCATTTTTTTTCAAACACTATGTTGTATTTTAGCATTAAAGTAAAAACATTGGACTACACTTAAATATATTTGTATTTATCACAATATATCGTCATTGCAATATTCAACAACGTTAACATATACTTTACTCATATAGTATAGCGCCTATAGCTAACCATACAGATAAGACTAGAGTCCTTTCCTATACAGACATAATGTTATTCTGTATCATGTCCTAAATGTGTTCTCCTTCCTCTATCATGCAGGGTGCAAAAGAGGAGCCAGCCCGGAGAAAAGAGCCCAAGTTCCTGGGTAAGGAGGGCTGGGTGAAGAAGGCCCCCGGCAGACTGTTGGCCAGCTACAAGGAGCGCTACGTCCATGTGGAGAAGACGGAGATCGTGGTGTATGAAAATGAGGTACACCACTGTTATGTCTCCTACTCATTCCACTTTTTCACTAATTTGCACCATTTTACAGTACAGAGTTATATAACATATTCATATTCAGAGCACTTTATAGTATATATTTCATTATGAACATACTTAACATGCAATCAAATCAGCTTATAAGCACTTTTATTGATAGTTTAGTGCACCATAATGAATTGAAATTCCATGGTCATTATGAAAATATTATAAGATTTTCATAATGCATCTTTTATAATGCATTACAACCTGTTATACTATAAGTGTTCATTTTTTGCTTTAAGTCAAATGAAAAAAAGGTATTATTGACTGTTAACGGTCAGTGAGGGATCACCAATTCTGAAGTAATATGAGACATTACGTTATGAGGCAATGTAAAACGCTTTGTAATATGTTATGATTGTTGAAATAGAGCCTTTTGGGTAATTGTGTGCTTACAACTATAATTAAACAGCTAATGTATTACAGACAAGGGCATCCTAGAATATGTTACATCACACTCTGTTCTGCATTCACATATCACAGAAAGCTCTCAAAGATAATACAGTCACACAGAGTTGTTCAGAATAAAAACCTACATCACATATGCTATCTCATTATCAGAAATCTATATTGGGCACCAGGACAACAGTAGTCGTGAGCAGGTTGTTTGTTTTTTGCGATATTTGTTGATATTAAAAAAATCAAAAATTATGTTGCCTTATTTGTCTTCTATTTGAAATGACAGATTTGCAGACGATTGACTGGTAAATGTGTGTTGCAGGATCTGAAGAACTGCTTAGAGAGGCTTGACCTGGAGAACTATGATAAATGTCACGAATTAAAGAGTCCCTTCAAGAAGAAGCACAGACTGATACTGATCCGCTCCTCCAAGCCCGGAAATAAGGTGAGCTGAGAGAGCCTTGTGTGGAAAATAGAGCTCTGTGTATACAGTAGGCCATGGTAAGAGTGCTTAGTGACATACAGAAGCTCCAACTGTCAGGTTTACAAGAAACTGAACTAACATAAGGAAGAAAGGAAGTGAGAGTGATAAACACGCAAATGTTAAATGACAACATCCAGGACCAAAACACATGCTGCGTTTGTCATGCCCTATTTTAAATTTTGAAACACCACAAAATGATTTAGCTAAAGGGCAACTTCCTGTAAGATCTGGTTGGCTTTAACACGCCCTCTACTAACCCTGACAGTTGTGGTAACAGGATGTGTACAAAAACTGACTTCTGCAAACAGAAGTTGGAAAGGATGAAGTTTAGTCACAAGCTTGTTGTGATGAGATTCACTGTCCGTCAATTCAACACACAGTGTAAGAAAATGACTCCTAGCAGGAAGTAAAAGCACTTCTAGTAAAAGCAGAAAACATTTTACTAGGTTTCAACTTTAAAGGTGCACTAATAAATATGTTATGTTAACAGTGGATCAAATTGGAGCTGTGATGTGAATGGAGTGGCTCATATTAACAAACAGGAAAATATCATTTGACTCTGCAATTCTCCTCAGCTCTACAAATTGTTATACTGTTTTGTCCCATTAGTCTTTGTTTTATCAAAAATAAAAGTCAGATACACCCACCATTCATTACCTACCCAACACAAACGTCAACAAGCTGGTGGACATAGTGGAGCATTAAGCAGCTAAAGATATTTCTCTAAGGAGTTGGAGGAGACCAAAAAAGAGTTAAAAGAAAAGGAGTATTGATCACAAACTAGAAAGAGTGCAGTTGTCTCCTTCTCCTATCACAAAAAAAGAAGAAGAATCACACTTAATTGTTCCTCCTAACTCCATTTCAGACACGATGACGGAAAATATAACAAGAAAAAAAGGGATTTGTTCATCTCGTATCGTACCTAACTTAAGTGGAACATGATTTATCGAGGTATGGAAGTAATTCAGAATCAGACCAATTTTTTCTTTATGGGTGGATGTTTTTGAGGCCACAACAATTTCAAAAATATTGCCTGCAACAGACAAGGTAACAAAGCAAATCCTCCAAAAAACCTCTGGTAATACTGAAGCAGGAGTTGATCTACATTTGGCCGTCAAATGTAGGGAGGAGTCATCAATCCATGACAGTATAAAACAGTCAATAAAATAGGTGTTTTTCATAGGTGTTCATAAGTCTTTAGATGTGTACTTGAGATAGCCAGTCCTTGCAGTGTGCAGTATCTTTTAAGCACAGTTTCAATGAAGCAGTGGGTTGTGAGATGTTGCCACTTCCTCTTTGAGGTCAGCTTTCAGTTTTGTGTGCTGGCTCTAACAGAGACACCTCTCAGTCTAAGACTGGAGCCACACGAGAACGGTAACGCAAACGAACCGAATTCGATATCAAAAAAGTCTTCCGTCCACACGCAACAGGCACCAGAAACGTGTCCGTTCACACGAGACCGCTCGAAAGCACTGGAGACGATGTAGTACATATGCTGGGCCTGTAAGTGGCGCTGTACTTCTGCCACAAAATACACCAAAAGCAGCGAAGAAGACTTCCCGCGCATGGTTGCCATGGTTGCCATGGTTGCCCTTCTGTTTATTTTCCGCTGTGGACGCTCTGGCTCTTTTTCTCCCTCCCCGAGGCAAGCGTTTGCTCCTGCTGTAATTCTCTCCGGTTAGTCCACCAGCAGATGACAAACACCCCCCTCTCCGCCTCTTCCAAGGGACGACGGAACCATGCGTCAGAGTTTCCGTTCGATTTTTTTTCCGCCGATCAACATGTCTGTTAAAGTTTAAATCTTCCGGACAAAATTTCAAAAGTGCCGGTCAGAGGTCTTCTTTGTTATTTATTGAGCTTTAAAACAAATTGATAATGACTCTATATAATAATATAAGAATAATAAATGGAGCCTCTCTTTTCCTCCCCCTCTTCTGACAGCCCATCAGCTGATCTCTGAGCAGGAGAGGTGGGGAGAGGCAGGGCTATTGCGTCATCGTTATCAGGAAATGATCGTATAGCGCGTAGACACGGAGCCGTTTGGCCCCCCAGAGCGTTTCGTCCGCAGATCTACCCACCTTCGGGACCCATTATCGTTATCGTTATCGTTATCGTTATCGTTATCGCTTCCTGCGTTTCCATGTCGGCCTCGTGTGGCCGAACCGTCTATCTGATAGAGAACTGTAGCGGATACGACTGTGACCATTCTCGTGTGGCTGCAGCATAAGGTGTGAGCCCTTTAGCTACAAATCCCCAGCCTCTAACTTGTACACACTGCTGCCCACACACAGTAATGTAGAACTGTTTCCATCTGCTGAGATGATGAAATACTCCACTATCAAGATCCATAAATTCAGAATAAGATTTAGGTTACAGATGAAACATTAATAGCTTTGATATAAAGACAATATAAGTAATAGAATGAACATTGGACTAACATTTGCTAGATGGCCATGAGCATTAATGGTTTATGACCTCTAGTTGCTGCTATTACTTCTCTATGTGTTGTTCCAGATTGTCTTGGCAGCCTTATGAAAGCCGAGAATAAACCAAGAGTTTTAATTTTACTTACATTTTCTGAACAAAGGGAAGTAAAAAAAAAAGGGAAATGTTGTTACAAAAGATTGTTTTGCGAGATGAATTCCCTTTATCTACCGTTTTAAAACAATTGTGTGTTTGTGAAACCTGGAGTTCCTGAATTGGTTGGTAGTGTGAAGTCTGTTGTGGTGGTTCAGTGTGAATGGAGTGAGTGGTCGGACCAGGATGTGAGCAGCTTCTTGGTGGCCTCCCGGTGTCTCCGGGGTAACCTCAGCTCTGCATGGCTGAATCAAGCCAAACAGACTTTCTTAAAGCACCGCAGCAGCACTGTGTCTCACAACCAATCACCTGAGGCTGCTTTTCAACAGTCACCCTCTTCCACTCCCCCCTTAGAACCATTTCTGTCTTTAGGGGGAGATAGTAGGTCAACAGTATAGGCCACATAGGCAGTGGCGGCGCCAGAGCATTTTTGTTGGGTAATCTATGGTAGGGCTAACCCATACAGTGGTGGTGCTCAAGTCAGTATTTGCAATGTAATTACATACACGCTATATTACCCCCCTTGACAGTGAAACGCCACGCGTGAGGTTTAGATTATTTCCCTGTCTCAATCAAAATGGAACTGTATGAAATAAAACGGCACATTTGTCTTGTAGTAAATAAAAAGGGATCACTGTGAACGTGACGTATGATAGTACACGTTGAAGATCCAATGGGGATACTGAATGGCGGTTTCGATTGATCTCAATCAATAAGGCATGACGCAGATCCAACGTTTCGTTGCTCTGGCTGTAGGTCTATTCAAATTGCATTCGGAGGCATTTTGATCTGACCGCGGCCGCGCTGATATTATAACGCCAGAGAATTTCCACACCTTTAGTGTATAAAACTCCCCCACTACTTAGACTATTCCTTGCACCCCTCTTATAGCATAGGCCCGAATGGTCTCAACCATATTGCATCAGTAACGTGCACTTGTTGTTACAGCAGGATCAGTTTGTGTGCTGCTGTGGACACGACACGTATATTTTCGCAATCCGTGTTCTCAACATTTAGCATTTCGCTTATTATTTCATTGAATTTGCATCACTTTTCATGGTGGGGCTAAGGTGGGGCTAAGCCATTTCTTGGTATGGCTGTAGCCTACCCCAGCCATACCCTGGCGCCGCCACTGCACATAGGTGTTATATACATCATTTGAGAACCTGAAAATGAATATCAGAAGCTGCTCAGTACTGTGTGTCAAGTGTTTTCTGGGACATAAATCTCGAATTAATATTAGGTTATGGTTAGACCTTTGGTGAAATGTCAACATTTAGTCTAAGAGCAGCTAAAACATGATGATTAAAGTATATAGTGACCCTCCCCAAGCTTTAATACAGTATGTCTCATAAGTTGCTGGAGCAATTTTTGGGTTGATTACCATTTGCTTCACAGGTTATATGCAAAGGAAACTTGGAAAGCCCGTGGTTGTAGAGTTTCCTAACGCTCTCATTATCATACGTTATACACAATATTCATTTCATTTCATTTCAAACCTTTATTTAACCAGATGGTCCCATTGAGATCATAGATCTCTTTTTCAAGGGAGACCTGCATTATTTGTATACACTGAGGTTAGTTAGTTTAATTTAGTTTGTTTCTAAAAATGATCTCACTAAAATAAAGTGTCTACTGCGAAGACTTACATCATAAAACATGAAAGGGTCTCAGCTTTCCAATCGTACCCAAGTTAAGCAATTCCCAAACCCTAACCCAAAATAAAATAAAATGCACCGTTTTTAGAATAGGTGAAAACGGCATATTAGTACTGCATGGAAACAAAAATAACGGCAGAACTTTTGCACAAAATGACATGGGATAAGCATAGAGTGGGCCTGTCTGTAAAGGGGAGACCTGTGGGTTCCCCTTTCAGATATCTTGAGGTGAGAGGTCAACGTACCTTTGAGAAAATGGGCATTATTAACCTTATTTTTCCATGTATTTTCTGTATTGACAGCTGACATGTCTGTGCTCTGTGTGCCTGACAGGTCCATGATGTGAAGTTCCAGGCTCAGAATGCAGAGGACAAGGAGGCCTGGATTAAAGCTTTGCTCAATGGCATTAATCGAGCAAAGAACAAAATCTTTGATGAGGTAAACACTTCTTAAGGCGAGACACTACAGGCGAAAATATGTATTTATTTATTATATGATTATTATATTTATTTTTGTATACAGTGTAGGCTATCTTGCTTCCATAACACCTTCTTTCAAACATGTAGTGCAAACACACACTAAGTTGTTTGTTGTACTACACTGTGTCTAATTGTGTTTGTAGATTTAACCTACATTTTACAAATACCTCCCTTGCATATTTAAAGCTCAAAAGGATTCAGTAGTGAATGACTGGGCTTCATGTTTTCACAGGTGACGGTTGATGAAAGCATTAATTTAGAGCACGTTACTCGAACAAGGCCCAAAGGGAACCGTAACCGACGGCCACCGACCAGGATACACATGAAAGAGGTTTGTGTGTGTGTGTGAATGTGAGAATCCATTCATGTGTGTGTGAAATAAGACACTGTGTGGTCAGCTCTGATGCTACAGTACCGTAAGTAAGTCCAGATTTGACTCTGTGTTGAGTTTCTTGTTTTTCTTGTGCTTAAAGGTGGGTTAGGTAATTCACTTCAGAAACACTTTCTGTTATATTCCATGGAATGCTCTTAACATCCCGATAGCAATGAATACATTAAATGCTTTGACAATAAATACATTAAAACATTTAATCTGTGGAAGCCGTGGCGCTGTAAAAAGCACGACCAATCATTTTAGCCGGCCCGGCTAAAATAACTGGATGGCCTACCTGCCTGTCAGCCTTCCATCTGTGCACAAACTTATCTCGTGCCCTCATTGGTCATGTGCGCGTTCGTGTGTTGGAGGAGGGGCTCTGTAAGGAAGTCTGAAGGAAGGGGCAGATTTTTTTCGGTTACGTAGTTTCAAATGTCTCCATTCTTAACTACCCTACCCTTAAGTGGGTTTCTAATAGTATTTACTATTTCTCTCTACGTGTATAAAGTACATACTACATATTATATTTAGCATATCTTAATATATATATAAGGTCTATTTTTATATTTCCAGTAAAGTTTTATTTTGTCCTGATATGCTTTATGCTTTATGCTTTTGATGTAGGTCTGAAAAATTACATAATAATTACACAATTATTATTATATCCATTGCTTATTAACAGAAATATTGTTATTTTTATGCCCTTTTTAACTCATATTGCCTATGCTTTGCTCTTTTGTATATTTTTTATCTGCTGACAATGGAAGTTGACACAATTATAATGCCTTCTCTTTTATTAGAAACCAGCACTTATTTTGTATAACAGCTTTTATTATTTTTAATTAAGGTTTATTGGTTTGGTATATCTATTTAAATTAAATGTATTTTTGCCTCTATAGGTAGCTGATGTGTCGTCTGATGGTATCCTGCGTTTGGACCTGGATCTTGAGAATGCCTTGATGCCTAATGGCACCCAGCACTCCAGTGTGGATGGCACTGAAACCCCGAGAGAGGCCATCAAAGCGTCGACTCCTCCGTCCAATGCCGGTGAAAATGCAGAGAAAAGGGAGGATCCTGAGGATGAGGCTCAGACTGAGCCGGAGGTCAGTCCCCAGAAAAAGGTCATCAAACCTCCCATGCCCCCTACCAAAGAGGCTAAACCTAACCCAACGCCTGAGGATGAGCCTGATAAGGAGGAAGGCTCAGAGAAAAAGGTCTGTTTATTGCTAAATACCCTCATCATACAATACTGTTCATATAAAATAGTCTGTAAATAGAGGTTAAATGTCCCTCATTGGAAAAAGTGCAATTTCATGTCTTTAATAATTATAAAGCAGGTCTAAGTGCAATTAAAACAAGTCTCAAAATGCTAAATCCACAGAGTAATGCAAAAGCCACCATTTTCAGAAACTGCGCCTTTAAAGAGACAGGCACTAAAATGGAGTGTTTCAGACAGAGGGTGAACATATAAAAACCACAAAATAAAAGTATATTATTTGTCCCCTTTAATGTCTTTAAGGTCCTGAAGCCACCCATGCCTCCATCTAAAGAAGCCAAGCCCACAGCCTCACCTGAAGACACAGAGGAGGGGAAAGCTGAGCAGATGTCTGAAAAGACTCCTGATGCCAGGAAGAAGACAGTTCCACCACCAACCCCTCCCAACAAACCCGGCTCCTGCAGCTCCATTAGCAACCTAGCAGAGGCCTCACATTCCCACCCTCCTACCCCTCCATCAAAAGAGAAGAAACCTTCTGTGGAGCCAGACCAAGAGGTGGAAGGCACAACAGACGAGGATGAGGAGAATGAAGAAAGTGATAAGAAGGAGGCAACAGGAACAGCTGTGGAAACTGACCTGCCCATTTCTAAAGAAGCTCCACCTAAACCTGGGAGTCCCAGCGCAGACTGGCAGGTATTTGAAGAAGAATCAGGGGAGACAATAAGTAATGGCATTAAAGCATCTGAAAATGACCCACAAATTCCCACAGAGCAACTCAGAAAGAATTCCAGCCCTCCTCCTACACCCAAGAAGAAGCCTGCTCAGCCCAACTCGCAACAGGCAGACGACAAGACAACTGTAACCCAGGCAAAAGAGGGACAGGACCCTGCTGCTTCACTGCAAACAGATACCTCTGCCAGTTCCCCTGAAGCAGTAGAGGCTCCACCCAAGATTGAGGTCCCCTCAGTCGTCGTCTCTTTGAATACTCCGCTCTCTGACGGCCTCAGCCTGAGTCCGCTGCTCTGTCACCTGCCTGGGGAGAAGAAGAAGAAGAAGAAGGCGGAGGAGAAATCTGTGGACAGCGGTCAGCACTCTGACGATGACAGCGAAGGCTCTGGCAACGAAGACACACTGGCAGCTTCCACCGCCGCGTTGAGAGGAAGCAACCCTGGGCTGGATGTGTTGGACGCCAGCGAGGACGAGATTCAGGTTCCCGTCACTTTGAAGCCAACAAAAGCACCACCCAAGCCTCAGGTCAAACCTAAGTTCTTTCCCTGTCGGCGCTCCGAGCCCCCTCCTCCGTCTCTTTCACCCTCGACCAAGGCCAGGTCCGCCTCCATTGGAGATCTGCTGTCTGACTCGTCAGTCTGTGTTCAGGCACACACAGCTGTGGCCGGAGGCAACGCGGCTCCTGGTGATGATTTCATGAAACTTGAGACTGAAGTGGCGCTGGAGATGGAAAAGACGCAGCAGCTCCTGAGCAGAGTGTCCAAGGCTAAGGGGGGAGCAGACGGGGATGGAGTGCCAGAGGATCTGCTGGCCAAGGCCATGGAGAAGCTGAAGAAGGCTGACCACGTCCTGAGAGAGGTCCATAAACTGAAAGTTGCAAAGGACTCAAGAAACAGGAACAGCTGGTAAATGTCGGCCAGAGCAGGTTGACTGGGAATCGACCATTCGCTAAACCTCTCTTCTGAACAGTGGTTGTCCAATCATCGTTTAGCAATCTCCAATAGGCACGCAAGCCTGTTAAGCTTTGGATTTCTACACAAACGGTACGGTTTGCAAAGGGCTGAAGTAAAAATAAATATTGGATATAAAAAGTTTTTTTCTTTTCCTTTACAAAACTGAAAACGTGAGCGGAAATGTAAGGAATAGATAACATGGTGTATTTGCCCGCTGTAATGTAAGCTGCAATTATTGGCCTTTTTGTGTCTCAATTTGGATACTTCTGTAAACACTTCGACTGTGTATACGCAACACAGTCTCACGGCATTTCGTGTTATAGTCACGAAATTAATCTATTGATTCGTGTTCACCAACACGATTTCGCCATTTTTTTCGTGTCACACAGAACGATTTTAAAAGCAATGTAAATAATAACAAATTAGAAGGAAAAAGACATTTAAAAAAATACAGATTTAAGTATTCTGACACAGAACGATTTTAGAAGCAATGTATTTATATTGGTAGTATGTTTCGTGCCTGCACCAAATAATAACAAATTAGAAGGAAAAAAAGATGACATAAAATACAGATGTCAGTATTCTGAGGCTCTGAGCCATTTCTTTTCCTCACTGACGGCAAAAAAACTCAGACATTATACAATTTAAAATAAAAGGGTTAGGGTTAGGCTTAGGGTAAGATATTGAGTAAGAACATGTTTTTATGAACCACACAGCTTCTGGTCTTCCAAGACCCGACCGGACAAAAAGACGTGTTGCAGGCACGAAACATACTACCAATAGAAATACATTGCATTTAAAATCGTTCTGTGTGACATGAAAAAAATGTGAAAATCGTGTTGGTGAACACGAATCAATAGATTAAATTAATTTCGTGACTAATAACACGAAATGCCGTGAGACTGGGTTGGTATACTGTACATACATGTGTAGTGTGTGAATCTTGGGAAACTTTTCCAAAAGCTCTTAAGAGACTCGCTACCTTCCATTCTTGTTCAATGCTTAACCACGTTCAGAGATTTTTGCCAAGCAAGGATTTCAATCTAGGCACGTCCACCTTTTGGTCCTTATGAGCACTCAATCCAGGTACTAATAGTGCACTGCGTTTGACCATAGTTGTCAGTGTGAACACTCTCAAATTAAGAATTGTAGGCAAGTTTAGACGCAACAGATGCGTGGCTAACTAGCTTACGCTGCTACTACTGTACCTATAGTCGCAAATGAGCATTACTTCCAAGGTCTTTCAAGTAGCTTAGCATAACTAGCTCCCTTAGTTTGTGAGTTAAAAAAGCAAGCTCAGTTTACATCTAGCACATCCACTTTTTACTGTTATCCCTGTCTTGGATGCTATTAGAGGTTAGCTTACCGTTAGCTGCTCTGTTTTAGGAATGTTGCTCTCTAGCGACCCAAGCCAACAAGCTATGGTTTCGTTTGACAAGCTATAAAGCCTTGTTCCTTGTAATGTAAAAAACATCCATGCTGTGTTTTTGATCAACTTTTGGAGCTAGTGTTCAGCTAGCTGATCAAATCTGTGACAGTGTCATTTCAGCGGGCAAAATCAACATTTGTTGGCAATTAAATGCGAAGGTGCTTTTGTCGTAATCTGAGTTAGGATTTAGCGAACAGTCAATTGATTGACTTTCATTTTGCAGCAGCACATGCAACTCTTCGCTTGTAATTAACTATGTGCAATTATTTCTAGTTTAACTCTCTCTGCAGCTGCAGGTAATGCTTAACATTCTACTGTGTATTTTTGTTGTTGTATATGAAATATCAAATAACATTTTCAAGAACAATTACTTGAAAGTTAATCAGAGAATTAATAATATAATAACAAAACAGTACTTTAATTGAAAAGAACATGCAAGAAAAGTACTAAAAAGTGTTAATAATAATCAATTACAGTTTATTCTTTGTGGAATCAAGAGGCTTTCACTCCTCTCTTCAGATATTTTTGCTGGCATATATATTGTACATACTTTATACTCAATAAAGCATGCTGTCTATTGTTGATGAGGAAAGATGTATTCCTCAGGAGGAATGAGATGCTCAGGAGTTTTCTGAAAGTCCACTTTTCAGACTTATCATGGGATTGAAGCAAAAGGAACAACTGATACTCAACATAGAAGGATTCCAGCATGTTTGTATACTGATATTGTACATAGCACAGAACAAAGAGCTTGTAGCAGCACTTTTGGCTCATACTAACCCTTTTACAGTTAAATTTGACATTCAGATGTGATTGTATGAGTGGAACGTACTCTGTGATGTTCCACGCAAATTTGCGAGGATGTTTTCTAACATTAGATATCATTTTGTACTCTTTGATAAAAGTTGCTTTGGCCCAAATAAAAAACGGAAATTATCTGTTTATGTTGTGTGCTTTTTAATTCAGTTGTAGCTCTAGAAAGCATAAGAAATATTTATTAAAGAAATGCAAAAAATATATTTTCTTTTGGAAAAAATCCTGCTAAAGGTTTCCAATGTAATGCTAGTCAGTTTAATAAAAAAACGTTTTGAAATAGTACTGTATTAGTTAACATTTTTTGCAGCAATGCAGGTAAATGCGTAAGAAGTAAACTAAATACATGTAAAATACGTAGAATAGGATGAGCTGAAAACAGAATGTCAAAGGAATTTCTGTACAAGGATAAAACACTGCTTACTGTAGTAATAAATAATTAAATATGTGAAATGCACTTCCATACTCGGACATGGTCCATATGTTAAAACCATACAGTATATGGTTAAAACATTAAAACAATTATTTGTCGTTTAACTCTTCTCTGTTTGGCTTGACAGCATGGATGTATAATAAGAACTGGATACAGCGTGGGAGGCGGGGCCTCATTCATTCCTATGAGAGTTGCTCATTCGCGCATGATGATAAAATGGCCCAACTTTTGAGAGAGCGAAACGTCACAGATTACCCGGCATGCCTGAGAAGTACCCGTATGTGCGCTCATAGCGCATGCGCAACTTTAACCATGCCCCCCAAAATGCTCGTTCACATCAAGCACGTCAATTTGCGTACACGTAACAACACCGCACGTTCATGACAGCATGGTAATGGATTGTTATTATGATAGATTTGATATTAACGAGGCGGCAGTTAGCAGCTAGCAGTTAGCTAGTAATTATGCTAATTTACACATCAATCGTTATGTACTTTTATATTACGCTGTAACAGGATCTAGTGATATCCAAGCAACAGAGCTTCGATTAGCATGAAAGAATTATTGCACTGTATATATATGTATATATATATATATACAGTGCAATAAGCTTCTTAGTGCAATAAGAAGCTACAGGGACGTTAATCTACGTCGGTAATATTAACTTTATTTAATACAACATTTACGGTACAAGATTTAATCATACAGCCCATGTAGTATAATATTTTACAAATGATGAATTACAGCAAACATGTGCAATATATATCCATTATTACAGCTCCGTGGGCTGGCAGTAAGGCGATATGGGTCCGTTCTTATTGTGCATCCATGGGTAAAGATAAACGCATGTAGTGCTGAACACGTGACATGAACGTGCCGGGCGGCGCGGTCCCGTGGGTTAGATGCGCGTTCATAATGCAGAGGGAAATAACTCACAGAATAACGTTATTAGCACATTTTTACAACTTGAGGAACGAATGTTTTTAATAAGGGCTATACAAGTGTTCATACTGGGTAGTTTATTTAGTTTAAAAAAAATCATCCAACGATTTACAGACCACTCTTTCCCCATGTAAGTCAATGGGAAAAAGTGTTTCCGGGCCTGGCAACCAAAAGGAAGTGTAGTACCGCCGTTTGGCCAGCACGAATATTTTCATCTGAGTCCGGCGCACTTCCTGGGGGCTTGCTTGACAGATGTAACTGTTACTCGTTTTATTTTGAAGGTCTTGGCCGGAAGTCATATTTTCACAGTTTTACCGAGTGTTGCTTGACAAAAGTAACTGCTGTAGTCACTGGGTCCAGGCAGCCTCCTCTCTGCTGGTAAAGATACTACAGCTGTACAATGAGAGTAGGGGTGATAGCCCAGTCATAGGAGGTGTCTTTAAAACAGCTCAAAGATGGAGGACGACCTGGTGTCGGAGGATGATATCTGTGAGTATGAAACATGAAGGAGCAGCGGGGTTCTGAGGCGGGAGCGAGCTGTCGGCAGCAGGATGTCGGTGTGGAGCAGAGCAGGCAGAGAGTTTACTACACTGTCTGTGTTTTACACAATACATTATTTAGTTAAAAATTATGGACGCTAAATGTAACTTTGTAGCCGATAGAACTGTATGAGACGTTTTAACCACATGTTCTGTTACCTTCATAGTCTACAGTCCCGTTGTCTAATTTAATATCTCAACAATCTCATGATATGTTCTTCCTGTAATACTAGTGTATTAGACTACAGCGGGCCCGGTGTGCGAGATTAAATGTTTTTTTTAATTAACTGGTTTACAGTAGGGGGGCGTGGCCTTCGACTGAAATACACATTTCGATCGCTTCTTTTGTCGTTTACATAAATATTTTTGATATATTTGGCTCGATAGGAACACTTTGATGCACATTCAGTACGTGAGGTTGTGGTTACGATGGCGATATCCGGACGCGTACAGCGAGGACTACAAAAAGACAAACGAGGTGACTGGAGAGACCCTCCTGAAAAAACCAGCATATACCAGCATGGTGTTGACCAGCAAAACCAGCATATGTTGTGTTTTGGTCACTTGTATGCTGGTCTATGCTGGTATCCTGGTATACTGGTCACCAGCATAGACCAGCATAGACCAGCATACCAGCATAGACCAGCATACAAGTGACCAAAACACAACATATGCTGGGGTTTTTTCAGCAGGGTTGCAGGCTGATAAACTAGGATATCTGATCTCCGTGGGTCTTAATGAGGCTTGATACAGACCTCAGTCAGTATATACTATTTCTAAGCAAATGCCTACTATAATATGTATATTATATGCCTTAAAGGTGGGGTAGGTAAGTTTCAGAAACCGGCTCGAGATACACTTTTTGTTATATTCCATGGAATGCTCTTAACATCCCGATAGCAATGAATATCTTAAGTACTTTGACAAAAAATCCATAAAAAAATGTCATCTGTGGAAGCCGTAGTACTGTAAAAAGTACGACCAATCATTTTAGCCGGCCCGGCTAAAATAACTGGATGGCCTACCTGCCTGTCAGCCTTCCATCTGTGCACAAACTTATCTCGTGCCCTCATTGGTCATGTGCGCGTTCGTGTGTGTTGGAGGAGGGGCTCTATAAGGAAGTGGCAAATTTCCCCGGTTGTGTATTTTCAAATTCTAGCGATCTCGAGCCGGTTTCTCAAACTTACCTACCCCACCTTTAAAGTATACATTCGCTCACATTATAAATGATGGTCGGGTTGCATTTTTCTGGAACTTTTTAACAATGTTATTAGGGGCATTCACACCAAGTACTTTTCCCACAGTAGTTCATGAGAACTTTAGTTCATGAGAGCTCTTTTAGTTCTGATGAACTAAAGCAGATCGCGTTCACACCAAAATGAGTTCCTGGGGGTGGATTAGGCAAATGAGCCGCTGACGTCACTTCTTCTTCTTCTGCTTTGGGTTTACTGGCAGGCCGCAAACAACTTCACGGCGAGTACAGTAGGTGGCGGTATGCACCTTAAAGTTGCAATTCGCCAAAAAACCGAGAGAAGAAGAAGAAAAAAAACTTCCGCTTCCGCTGTATGCTTCTGTTTACCTTCCGACCTCAGACACGGTATGGAGTTGGCGTTTTGATGGTCGTGTTATACAGCTTCGTAACGGAGTTATTTAAGCCAATAACTCAGCCACAAATACAAATACAGATCGACCATTCAAATGCAATAGAAATGCTGAGTCGGAGGCGAAGGCGGTTAAGAAGCCTTAACAAAAGGATTGGACGACGAAAGCACACGCTATGGACATGTTTCGCCGTAGGACAGCTGAGGATGATGGCCGTTATCACGCCCAAAGAACAGCATTGGTACGTTCATTAAATCACATTAATACTATCTAATGTAGGATTTATGGAGTTATGTAGGGCTAATTTGTGTCTTTGTATGTGTTCCAGATATGCGAATACTACGGAACGCGTCGTGTCCCGCGCTCTCTCTGGGTGAACAATAGAACATCGGCCTGGTGGGAGAAGGTGGTGCCAACGTACACCAATGTGCAGTGGATCAAAGATTTCCGAATGTCCAAGGGCTCTTTTCAACTCCTCTGTATTCGCCTGGAAGCAACGTTGGGGAGAGGCATCTGAACAGCATGGAAATTGTAAATTGACAATAAAGCTGATCTTTTGTACAGTGCATTTGGTTCTCTCTTTTATTTACCACAGTCAACAGACACAATTACAATAGTGCAGACACACCTTAGTGCAAAGATTAAATGTCAGTATCAAAACAGTACTCATACTGTATATTTGTATATTAATATGAGTATATTATTATGTTAAATGTGTGTTAAAGACAATGGGATGAGGTTGAAAGCTCTTTAAAAAGCTTTTGTATACCATCTTTACTGTGTACATGTTAAGCATACACACCTGAAGAACTACGTTACACACACACAGGTTAGTCTGTGTACCGCTGCACTGCTGCTGGTTTAAACAAAGACAGTCATGATGCTAGTGCCGTGCATGTAGGTTCTCTTTTATTTATCAGCAGCAGATCAATAAGTGTCAGTAGTATCAAAACAATATAATAACAGTGGCAATATATATATATATATATATATATATATATATATATATATATATATATATATATATATATAATAACAATAGGTAGGCTCAGTAGCAGACACACCTTAGTGCAAAGTGAAGTGTCAGTATTAATAACAGTGGCATATATATAATCACAATAATACAAAATTAACTGTCCCAGGTGTAGGAAATTTGGGGTGAAGTGTCTTGCCCAGGGACACAACGACATGCTGACTGCAGTGGGGTTTGAACCTGTGCTCCCCTGATCCGAACACCAACGCACCAGACCACTGCACCACACGCCTCCCAACAAGTCATTGTACAGTTTATCAACGACGACGACAAGTTTTTCTTAATTTTTGTATTGAAGGCCTGTTGGATTTAATCAGCTCGCTTAGCACTGCCAGAAGCCCAGCCTGAAAGGTATTTTGTTGCTGGTTGTCCGATTCCTTTGCCTTGTGTGAATGCAGCAGCCGTTCGTCGTGCATCTCCTTGGCACGCAGGTCCTCATTCTCCTTGTTGACCATGGCACGGCGGTCCATCGCCATGATGGTGTCAAGGAAGCTGTCATCGCGTGCCCACTTTCCTAAGGAGAAATAAGCAAGATACAAGATCAGTTTAATCGCAACAACGAGACAACATTGTCCAACATTGGACATGGTGCAGGCAGGGACAGTGTACAAAATGCAGGTGTAAAGTAGAAGATAAGATAGATAGATAGGATCAAATAATATCAAATAAAAAATAAATATCAAAGTGCCCTTATTTATTGTTTTGTGCTTAATGTATGCTTGAACTTTGTTTTATAGGGATTAGTGGACATCAGTTAGATGTGTAACCTTCTTTCAAGGCCAGAGTAGTTACAGTGTAAGTGGATTGACATCTAACATAACATGGCTGAGTACAATTATAACAATCAATAAAAAAAAGGAAAAATAAATAGAATTTCAATTACATTTCTACTTAAATGTGCAAAAATATTAGAACATCAGTCTTTGTGGCATGCAGGTAATCAACTGTTTAAGCTTTTACCATTAACATGTAGAATGAATGTTGCAAATGACTTGAAATTATAGCAACTACAATGTATTGTTAGAGGTAGCATTATGTCCAGCTAGCATGCTAATTGCTAACGTTATATTATCGTTTTATCCCAGAGGGGAAAACTAGTTTCTCATCCTGAGAGAAACACCTCGCCTGAAACACACGATTAGTGCCATGAGTTAGTGAAGCAAATTACAGAACATTGCACACTTATTCACAAGTCAAAACGTGTTCATAGCGGGCACGGCTGAGAATAGCTAGCTAGCTAGATGTTGTTAGCCAGCTTGGACCTATGATAGCAAGTTCTAGCATGGCTAGCTCGATCTACTGAGCAAATAAAAGTACATCTAAGACCAGTATTGTGCAGATTAAAACAGTGCAGTGCATGTATTTTATTTTACCTTCGTAGTCGTCCCGACATGACTTTGCCAGGTCTGCTAACTTTGCTGAGCTACGGAAACTGCATTCAGTAGAAGCTTCTGAATGCGGCGCTTCGCGTCCTCCGAGTAAATCGCCAGAAGCGCCGACACATCCTCATCACTCCACCGCTCCGATGATTTATTTAGTGTTGCTATAATAACTGCTTTCACAAAAGTAATCTCTTCGGGTGCGCTGGCCGAAGCGAGCAAATACAATGGCCGCTTACAAAAAAAAAGTCAAACGGGCGTGGTTTGCATTCCGCACAGCCAATACGAACCAGACGTACGAACTATTTTCTCCCACAAGCAGGGACTGAAAAGTGGGTCAGACGAACTAATTTGAACTACTTTAGTTCCTGGGGCTTTTTGGTGTGAACGCAAATATATCGTAGTTCTGATAAACTATTGTGGGAAAAGTACTCCAAAGTACTCCGGTGTGAACGCGCCTAATGTAACAAATTGAGCTGTGGTGATATAAAATACGTCGTATTGATCCGCGGCACACTCATAACGCGCAGGGCTCGAGTGATTTTTGCTGTTGGGACTCGGGTTTCAAGGTTCAAGGTTCTTTATTGTCAAACTAACATAGCTACAGAGTAACTATGTCGTTGAAAATCTTAGGTCACAGGCTTCTCCAACAATGCAACACAATAATACAGATAAGCAGACAATATTAAAATATACTATATTAAAAGTAATACAAAAAGAAAAATAGTTTTAAAAAAAGTGAGAAAAAAAAAAGTGGAATAGTGCAATAGGAGTCTATATACAAGTTATTGGAATGATATATTAGATAATAGATAAATAATTACTAAGTAGCAGATGAATGTTATGAAATTGTTTCATCAGTTCAGTTGTTTAACAGTCTTATTGCCTGCGGGATGAAGCTGTCTCTGAATCTGGTTGTTTTTGTCCGGATGCTGC